CTGCTTGATTATAGTTAATCACAAAAGTAAGACGGTAGGGTATAACCAAGTAAGTGTGTCCACTGGGGCTAAATAATGGTTTACACAAAAACATTAAAAAACATAAAATTACTAAGAAATACAAAACCTTTTTGATGAATTATTGCTAAAATAAGTAAAATCCCACACGAGAATCTCAAGATATTAGCCTACTACAAGTTTACTAGGTTTGTAAACTTCTGCTGATGAAACTTCAGTAGGCCCTAACTTGAACTTCAGTCTTTGAAATTCCCGAAAACTGCACAGCGACTTTCAACTCTATTGACAAACATTCTTGCAATGTGCTTATCATCAATAGATTTAGCAATGTCCCTATGGACGGATAAGATGGCAAGATGGTTCAATCTCTTCTGCGTCATCGTGGAACGCAGCCACGTTTTCAAGCGACGAAGACAAGAAAAGGTTCTTTCTGCAGTTGCTGCAGACGCTGGTATGACAAGCAGTAACTTGACAACCTTTACTACTTCAGACAAAAATCGTTTGTTTTCTTGAGGCTCACTATTTAAAGTAACAACTAAATCACGTACACTTTTAACTTCCTTCTTTTTTGGTAAATCTTGTAGACGGTTTAATTGGCTTGTAAGCTTTTTCTTGTCCAAGTCAGTAATTAACTCTCCAGGAATTAACCCAAAATTCCAATACGATCATGAACATCAATTAAATTAATTATTACTTTTATAAGGTTTTGTGAGTATTAAGCCCCTTCATAATAAATGTAATAGATTATTATTAATAACTAAATTGTTTATCTTTGTACTTAACTTCAGTAACTGTTATTAGGCCTACTTATACTTTTCTTCTTGGGCCGAAAAAATAAACGTATACAGTACAGAATGCTTTATATCATTAATTTTTTTTATATGAACCCCTGACCCTTGACCCCCCTGACCCTTCCTAAAATTTCAGGGGGGTCAACTGACCCCCCTGACCCCCTGGTTCCGCCGCCACTGATTGGTATTATACTTCAACTATACTAGTGAGGAAAAAGGTTGCAGATGATTCGCAGCACAAATAATTAAAAGGCTTGATATTTCACCTCTCTCAGAGGCTTCTTCAGCCACAGTGATTGTTGTAATACATGAGGACGAGGGGGGCAGTGTTGGTCTCTGCCATAGACACCATAGCAACTAATGCTAGACACCACTTAAGTGTACCACTGAACGTTTCCTTTGTTTACTTCTTTGTACTACAGTTAGTTAATAAACAATAATTAATTTCTAGCTTAATGACCTAAGGTCAAGAATTTGAAAAATTCTCAGCACTGTGATTAGGTTTCTGTGGTCTGAGCCATGAACCGCTATTGATGAAGTCAATGGCCGGTTGACGTACAAGAATGAAGTGTTTAAACGTATAAAATGCACAAGAATGGAGGGAGTTTGTAGGTGGTTTTAAACTTGTGCACAACATTTTCAATGGTATAAAGGCAGAATGTTCGTTTTGTATCAAAAGAAGTGAGCAAGGTTAGAAGGGCTTTGCATGCGGATTGCGGTATGACTGAACGAGATAGATGGTCAAACTAATAGGAGTCATCTCTATATGACTATCAAGAACTCTACAAGTTAGCAAGTCTAAAACACAAGCACACGAAGTTTCATCAAAATCAATCACCGTCTCAATGGAAACTGAAGAACCCCCGATACAAGCCCCATATGCAAATGTATGGCCTTCTGCAAACTTCCTAAAGCTTCTTATGCACATTTATGACTTTTTAAGGATTTTTTTTTAGACTTTTTGCGTTAACATCTGCCATTTCGGAAACAGTAAACAACACGGTTTGGCCACCTTCCCACAGAAAATTGGCACGAGCTTCAATAATCTTCTATCTCGATATTTTTAAATACCAATAGCTGCCTCTTAGGGCTGGAAAACAGCTAGAATAGTAGTTTGGATGAATTAAGGAACACAACGTTGGTTTCATATTTGAATTAGTTTGCTTGGCCGCAACAGAAGCCCTACCTTAATTTACAACAAGCCTTATATAAAAAAATATTTCTACCTGGCAATGAGAGACATGGTAGCTGGGAAGACATTAATGTTTCTGTCGCCCAGGATGTAGGCGTTTGCAGTCGCCCTCTCTTTTACTCCATGGTACAGACTGACCGCAGCACTGAGGGAGAGAATAGCACCAAATACACAGTACTCGACCCACTCTAACTGAGCCAGCTGATCAATGTTAGGTGCCAATGTTGCATTCAACATGGTGTTGGATCTGTTCAAACATATCTTAAATTTGTTTCATCTATTCACTGTAGTTTTTGCAATTTTCTTCTTTTTATGATTGCAGAAAAGAAACCAGTAGATTGCAAGTACAGTAAAACTCCAACCATTCAAATCAATTGGTACCGTGTTCCACATTTGTGTAACTAAAAATCCAAATAGATGGATTTTTACCGGAGTTTTTTTATGGAAAATCGGTTAAGTCTATCCGAGCTTTTCGATCTCAAATACGTGTCTGCAAAGATTTTGCAATTCACAAATTACGCTTTTCTCGTGATTGCAAAGGACAATGATGACTGATATTTGCGGGAGATGTTTAGGATATTGCAGGGGCACAGCTTCTGTCTTCTAAAATAACAATAATTATTATTGTGGTTTTAGGTTTTTAAATTCTGTAAGGTATTCAGATGGTTGGAGATCCAACGTTCTACTATAGATTCTATATGTCTCTATTGGATGTTAATATAAACTGTTTATGTTTATTAATAAATTCAGTTTTCAAAATAAAATAAAATTAAAAAATATATAGACTTTTGATGGACCTTGACTCCCACCACAAAGTTGTTTCCAATTAATTTTAGAATAGAAAAAGTAATGTAGTTGAATTGATCTACCAAGAGTGTGTACTGGTGTAATGATTTCTATCAAATAAGATTTGTAAACTATATAGCTTCTAATCTAAAACAAAAACTAAATGGGAAAATACAATTTTGATTCAACGATTCAACTAATGTTTGAAAAAATCTGTTACAGCTGGTCCTTCTAGTGTGCGACCTTTAATTTAATAATTTAAGATATAAAATTATGCAGATCGGTTTGGTTGAAGAGTCTCTGGAATCTTTAAAAAAAATATATTGTTTGTACATGTTTTAAATTGGGAATGGTTAACTTTCATGAAATCGCAGCAACGTGATACAGGTAAGCTAGTAGTAAAAAAAAATCAATATGAGGTGAACAGTGTCTAAATTATCCTAGTTCAAAGAACTAGATTGACAATTTTGCTCCGTCAAGAAATTATTTTGTAACAGGTTTTAAAAACTTTGATTACCCATTGTCATAGTGACTACATTAGTGATACAAAATCTAAATGTGGTGTTAAGAAACTTGATTGCCTTACAATGGTAAAAATTTTTCTGTATTATAGTCTCCAGCTTGTGTGTAAATATAAACTAGGAATAGCAGTGAAAATCAATTCTTTCTTATCTCGTGTTTGATGACCCAATATGAAATTAAAATACTTTTGTTACGTACTTATAAAACTAGTTACACTCACTTAGATCTTGATGAGCCAGTGTCATTCACACCGATTCTATCAAAATAATCTGGAGAAAGAGGCTTACATCACACCCTACAGTCTTAATAAATACTGTCAACTACATGTTCTACTGCATCTGATAAACCTAGGTTGCTATTAATTAATCAGATTAAAATGATAGTGTTGACTTTGTACAACAGTAGACGACATGCCATAGAATTACCTTGACTTTGGGTTCTGATTCTGCAAGTAGGCATCTAATTTTGTTAAGACCCATACTCTTTGACATGTTTCATGTCTGGTTCAGAGCTAGTCAACTAAATGTTTTCTTCTTTTTAGGATAAATTTAACTGAGTGCAGTTTACACTAGGTTTATATTGGTGAAAACAAAATAATAGTAAAAAAAATGCACTATGCATCCTCGTGTGGCAAGAAAAATTCATACCAGACAGAAAAATACCAGGCAGATTTTCAGGCCTCACATTTGTACAAAACAAGTAATAAGTTCTTTTCAATATTTCGTGTGTTGCAAGTCTACGTAATGATTTCATCCCTAGGGCAAAGTTTTGGACACTGGCTGTACATTTTTCATATGCTCAAGAAAATAGTTCTAATTTATACATGGTGTCTCAGAATTCATGTCGGATACTTGGTATTGCTCCTAGATGCTTAGGTAGGCTAGCTAAAAAATATTTTTAGTGGTTCTAGTAGTCTGTCTGTGCTTAAAAAATAAAATAATTTGTTATTCCAAGTATGTTTAAGATAAGGCTTTGAAACTCGGTATATGGGTTCTAGTTATCAATGCACAGGATAAATGCGATTTTTTTACTTTTCAAAATGATTGCAGTTAAGTTTACATTTTAAAATTTAAATATCATTGAAACTGTTTATTTTACAAGATATTAACAAGAAAAATTTTCTTTACTACATTTAATTTTACATACCGGTAATTTAAAGATGTATGGTTCAATTTATTACAAAGACCAAACTGTAGCTGTTGCTATCTCCAACCGGAGCCTTGGTCGTTAAGCTAGAACTTGTGTTGAAAAGGTTTGACCACCAATCACTCGCTGATGATGAAATACATTATTTTGATAATTTTAGGTAAAAACCATTGACAATTGGGTACAGAAGTAGACATCCCATCTATGGACCAGCTGTCGCCAATATTTTACTAAAAAAGATGTAGTTATGAGCCAGTCACACAATGTGCTTGTGTCTAAAATTCTGTTTTATACCTTTATTTTGTTGCTTAGATAGTTGATGGGTCAAAAGTTGCTATAGCTTATTACAATAAGTCGTTCCATCAGTTATATTGTGCATTCGACAGAAATTAGTTATTTAGACCAGCGCAATCTATCGGTGGCTCACACCAACTTTACAGAATTTGATGAATAAACTGGCGACAAATTTAATATGGGGATGGAATGTCTAGTTGTATCACAACTGTGGAAGGTGATTGTGGAGATGTTAAATGAAAAAGAACAGATAAAATTAAAAATTTTATTGATAACATAGTAGTTACAATGAATAAAAAGTTTTACCCATATAATATCAACATTTATAAAAGAGTCAGTCATATTGTTTGACCTCTTATCCCTTACATAGGTAATATCACTATTTGGAATGTTCAAGGTAAATTATTTTGTTCAACTACTGGACACAAAAAATCAATAAAGCAGCGAACCAACCTCTTTGGGAAGCAATTTGAAAAACAAAATATCTAAAAACCGACTATGTTAATTATTGTTTGGTTTCAAATAAAAGTTCCCGATGAGCATACACTTGAGTTTTACTAAAACTGTTACTAATACTGCAAAAACATAGGTATGGTAATGGTTTTTTATTTGTATTAATATGGAATAAAAATGGTTAAAAACAGTTTTTAAATACTAGGCTATATAGTATAAACTTGCATAAAAACTTATGCTAAGATGTTTTGAAATTAAAAAAAAACACTATTTAATCGTTGATTTTTAAGTAGCAATTTACACAACAATAAGTCATCATTTAAAATTGTAAGCACACTTGTTGTGAATTAGAAAATAAGAAACAATACCCTGAAAAATATAACTTATTGTTAATGTACAAGCAATAATGATTATAAAACAATACACATATGAAAATTAATGTACAATCAAGAATGGCAATAAAACAATAAAGATATCACCATAAACCACCAATTGGTAGATACTTAGTATTAAGTTACTACTGGAATTCATTTACAAGAATGAGCAAGATGAAGTTATTAAACATGTCAATACAAAATATCACATTTAACAGCAAAGCTCGGTCAAATGTTGTGTTTTATTTTATTTTATCTCATAGAAACAAAGGCACTTGTAATAAACAAGAAAATCATGATAGAAGGGGGATAAATAAGACAACAATAAACAACATACACTTAAACTAAATACAATAGCATACATTTTTATAAAAAGATAAATTGCAGTAAAACTTTTATTATTTATTTAAGATTAAAAGAAAACAATACAAACACTCGGAGGCAAATATTTTGAGCAACTTCTTGGCAGTGATACTGCATTACCAATGCACTCTGACAAGAATCTAACAGACGAAAGTAAAATACTTGCAATATAACTAGTAATATTAAGGGCAATTTATTTAATTTGTCAATCAACAATAACAGTAGTAATGGCAAAAGTAATTCATTAAATTTGTAAACCAACAATCACATGGGTAATATCAAGGGTAATTCATTAACTTTGTCAATCAACAATAAACCAAAACATTGCTCATTAAATTTCTCTACTAACAATAACAGTAGTAATATCACCAGTGGTAATTAAATATGTTAATTAACAATGAAACATAACGAGTAATATAAAGGATGGTTTCTTACATCTCTCAACTAACAATCACACTGGCAATATTAATTATTAAATTCATTAAATCCTAAATTTAAGAAGTTTGTTATACATCATGATACAAACCATAGGAGTAACATTAATAGTTGGTTCATGCTACTCTTCACTTACTCCAACTGCTGAATAGTCTCATTTACTGATGATGCCAATTGATCAATATATTGATCTATTTCATTAACATAGCCATCATACTCATCATCATCTTTGTAACTTTCATTTTCAGAATCACTGATTGTCTCAACATCAGCTTCAAACAAGTTGGTGCTATTGATAGAGTTACAAGCATTTATATAAACTGAAGACACTGATTGAAAACATTTTCTGATCAAATAAGGGGTTTTTAGCCCAAGAGTCGTCAGGTACATTTTTGCACAAACTGAAATTCTCTTTCCGTCAATTTCAAAAGCGTAGTTAAAACTCTGTCTTCCTGTGCTAGTTTGGCTGTTTGCTGCTACGTCAACTGTGTTGAAAATGAAATGTCTTTTCTGCTGAGGATTGAAATTGCGCCAAAAATCGTTGAAAATAGCCTCTCTTTGATTTTCTGTTACATATTGGCACAAACTATCTTGTACATTGTGTTTTGGGTGTCTTAATGAGCATCTACGGAGCATTTCTTTTGGAATCATCATTCTTTTACCTCTTTTCTTTTTTAACTCAAAGAGTGAAACCTCTTCTGAGTTCGGAATATCGTTTTCCTGCAATGGGTTATTATTCATCTTGAGCTTCAAAATAGGGACCCTGGGATGAGAAAGAGAGGGCGAGCCTGGAAAATAATACAAAATGTTAGAACATATGTAATAAAACTATTTAATTCTGCAACTAAATTATTCTGCTATAAAACTACGTATTATAATTAAACATATCGTAGAATAAGAATACTAATCCGTAGGCCCTAGAAAAACCAATCTAGAGACTCGTCAAAGGGGGGAAGATAGGACATTAGAAAGTAGAAACATTTATGAGGGTTCAATTTATTTAATTTCACAACATTAAATGTACAGTTAACACAGCAATAAAATCCCCAACACTAAGCCAAATGAAATAATACAGCATCTAAGCACAAGTACATAAAGTTTTTGAGAAATAGTCGACTAGAATAGAATGAGAAAGAGAGAATCCAACACCTTTATCCGTATTCTATCTATACTTACCGTTAAATGATATAACTCTTAATGTTGTTTTTGTAATTAAAACCACACATGACCTGCTGGAAAAAGTATATAAAAAAATAGTATATTTTGTACCTAGAGCAGAAAATGAGGTTTTGCCGGCTCAACTACAAATTTAAGGTTATGTGAAGAAATAATTTGAGGAATCCGCAATGATAATAATAAATAGTTGCTAGACAGTGGTGACGATAAAACAATTCTATTGCAATATTATGGATACTGATTGTGTATTTAATATGCATTCATGTTTTAAGAAAGTAAGCGAGCAGCTGATTTTGCGGCCCTAGGGATGTAAAAACCTGCTCGGTCCCCAAATGACGATGACAGCTGGCATGGCCAGCAAAACGCAACTTTCGGCCACCAATTAACGTATGTAAAACAGCTTAAAACATCATAGTATGGTGAAAAAATTAACAAAGCATGTGTAAATTGAAGAGATTATTTGTCAACAATTTATTCAATGCTAACTTGTCTCAATTTGTTAATATGTACATCCCAGACCCTTTTCAACCATATGTTAGTTCTCTTACTTTATATTAGATTTTTGCTTCACCTGTTCTCGTATGTTTCTACTTAAAAAAACAAATCAGTAAACCAGACCATTCGTCATAAAAAAAACAACCCAATTTCAAGACTTACGAAAGTAGATAAGATAGTATTTTTGTTCCACAGGTATAAGTTTTGAAATCAATATATAGTAGTTATCGAAAGAATATTAATGTAAGAATACTAGTTATAAATTAATATTTAAGTTGCAATTTCAAGTACAATATGAAGAAATGGTAATTTACTTTAGCAATCTAACAAAAATTCTCCATAAGATTTATTCTTCAGAGTTACTAAAGAGCAAGGAAAGGATTGATTGATACAAACAAAACAAGAAAACATAGAACAGTGGAGCTCTAGAGAGCTCAGAACTAGTCCGCAGAAAATCATACAAAGGCAAGAAGGGTAAGATACAAGATACAGAGGGTAAGAAGGAACATATCACCCTCACCCTTAAAATATAGTGTGGCCCATTTTGTAGGGGTTTACTTGACTAGTAAATCTTAACATTGTTTGGCAACCTAATTTTTTTTTAACTGATTCAGCTTAGAGCTAAAATTAAATCTAGAAGTAGAGTATTGTTAACAAGTTGTAAGCTGATCATTCTGTTGTCTTGAACAATCCAGGATGCAGAGTATTTCTCGTTGCTCACCAGCTCTGGTATAGAACAGAAAATCAATGAAATTAAATAAAATACCAAAACATTCAGACAGCAAGGAGAAAGAAAACAACATTGGGTTAATAAACGCTGTATTTGGCCAAGTATTGCTAAATGCCGTTCAGTGGACATCCAATTAAGAACACTTATGCTAAAATTTATTCTAACAGAAATTTAATTTCCTTATAATTATTAGGACTAGAAGGAGGAGTATCTATAGTTGAATACTCTATACGATTCAAAATGCAGAATCTAGGGTAATCTGTAACCCTAATTGTATTTAACAACACATTTCCATGCTAAATATACAAGTTCTGGAGATTACTCTCCTCGTAGGAATGTCTGTGACGAACTCTCGAAGTGTGAAATCTTGTCATCATAAATAAAATATAGAATCAGATTTCAAGCTTTGCTAGGTAATTTGATTTTAGTGCTTTTTGGGGCCATATTTAAATAACGATTTGACATAACAAAACGGAGAGGTAATTGTTTTTGGCACATCTCACTTGCTGGGCAGCACTTTCTCCACGAATCCTTTCAGATCTTGCAGCTCCTGAAACAAGATACAAAAAACAGTTACCAATTAACTGTCAAATTAACCCTATCTACCATGGGTGGTGTTGTGCTGTGCTCATTATTATTATAGGGGTAAATTTGGTACAGTACTGCATTCGGTTGATTAGGCTCGAACATTGGTGCATTTTATGAGTGCTGTTATCAAGTTAAGACATTGTTAACACCTGTAAAGATTGTTGAGTGTCCAAGCTTTTACTTTAGTTGATGAAAATAATAAATACTCAAATTTAATGCATGATAAGTGGTTTATCCATGTTTTGCCCTTTATAGTTAGAATTTAGGTTGGTTCAAATTTGTTTATCGGTCTCTGGATGTTTTTACCAAGTTCCACTGCATTTTTTAAAATCCAACTTTTCTGGTAGGCCTGATACTTTACCCTCCTAATCCTGTAGGTGTTGTATTTCCACACTAGCAAACTGTAAAATGTCTGAAGGTGCATACATTTCATTGTTTTACCCATACAGTAGACCCCCTCTTAACCGACCCTAATGGGACCGGACCTACGTCGGATAACTCAAAAGGTCGGTTAAAACGGGCAATCCCTAAAATCATAACATAATGAAATGCTATTCATTTGGAATTATATAATCAATATTTTGAAGTCATACTTGCATTAGTTATAAAATAAACTACTCTTTGCTCGAGCTACGATAACGAACGTTATCGATGATGACAAACTGACAATAGGCCATGCTATATTTTTTGTGATCAACACAAAATAACTTATTCTTAGTCATATCCTGTGGAGATAAGCGTATGGTTCAGTTCTCATCGCCCGGTGTGGGAGCGGAAATGCCGAGATTCCTAGAAAGCGGCGGTTAAACCGAACTGCTCTCAAAGCAAGGTCGGTTAAAACAAACTGTATTATTTCACGATCGAAGGCGGATAATCCGATTATCGGTTAATACGAGGTCGGTTAAGAGGGGGTCTACTGTAGTTTGTTAACCAAAGTCAACAGAGCAGATTTAATTTATAATTTCACCTAATTTTAAAAGCATCTATTGACTGCCACCCAGTTCAATCCCCTCTCACTAGTAACCTACCTCTTCAGAGGAACTGTGCATCATGCCCCTGTACGTCTTGAACTCAGCACTCTTGACCAGAGTTTTGAGGATGGACGCAGTCAGCTGACCCCACTTGTAAGGAACGATCGGATCACAGTCACCGTGGCACTGTATTATCGGTGTGTCCTTGTTGGCGGCGTTTAACACCTGTAAAATAGAAAAATGCTTTAAAAAAGGTCAAAACTTACTTAGGGGGTTAGCGTGTTTCTGATTACGCAAACATCCTAAAAAACATTAGGCCTACAGGAACGTTCCATGCCTACGGTACTGTTTAAGTGCACTGAAGGATTAGTATGTAGATCCACTATGTTTTGACATTTTACTATTTCAACGTTGTCTATCTTTCAATTGCTTGATTTACATGCTTCTAATTACAGCGTACTACTTAACGTTATAACATATTACATTACTATCAACGTAAAATTTTACAATCATACATTGATGAAAAAACAAACGATGTGAGTAGAAAAAAAACTTAGAATAGTTTGTATTCATAAGATGGTGATGCATATGTGTGTGATTTTTGAAGGCTTGACAAGTGATGGATCCACTTTGTATGAATAAGATGATAAACTTGTTTATGACTGAGATCACTAGGGTCCGGTCAAACCATAAAAAAGCTACTATATTTTCTAACTAAGATTACACATTTTCTTCTTCAATTTTTTTATGATATTGAAAACTCCTTCCAGCTTCTTATTCGTAACTATTAAAACTAAAAGATCATAGTGTTGTGTTGAATCTTATATTTCAAAAACTGAAAAGTAAACATTTACAAAACAATTTAAACAAATATCATGTGAGCATGTAAGTTAATTAAATAAAACATATGTTACTTGTAAATTAGCTTTTCTCTATTATTTGTGTGGAACAGATGGTACTGCAACTAAATTAGGTAGAAAATAGATTGTTCCTCAAAAACCATAGGCTACTCCTTTGGTGAAAATGTAAAAAATATATGTGTCCTTGTAAAAACCATAAATACCTTATTACAACTAAATTTAGTAAATTTGATCACACAAAAGAGTAAATTGCATAGCATTAACCATTTCTTTTTACCCAATGATAATAAATTAGTTAATAACAATAATGAATAGAATACTGATCAAAGTGTACCAACCGATGGGAATGACTTGTGTAGAGGGAGCCAACACGACAGAGCCATGACTCCGGCCAGCTTCTTGGGGAAGGTCAGAGCCGAGTATAGGGCAAGAGCACCACCCTGCAAACAGAGTTAACAATCACTGTGGGTTAACTTAGAGACTGCTTTATAATAATGGATTGGAATCTAGAACATTTTAACGGACGCGTTGCAGAAAGTCAACAGTCCCGGAAGGTCAAATAATTTATACCTGTGCCGCTAGGTCAAAAACTACAATTTTTGCAGTGTCTGTAGATCAAAAATCCCAGAAAGTCAAATAGTACAGTCCGGGCTAAAAGTTTAGTCTATTTTAAAGCAATTGACTTATTGGGAATTTGACTTAATGCAACAGCAGTTTTAATATAACGAAATAAGATAAAATATAAGTTCAGTTTCGCTGAGTCAACAGTGCCGGAAGGTCAAAAGTATAATCTGTTAAAAACAACGATAGTCCTCTCGACGCATGTCTTCAATAATTTCGTGTTTTGGTGTTCTTAAAGTTGTGCTAAAATTTTGAAATTTGGCACAGAGCTTCTTGGTTAGTCCTACTCGATGACTATTTTGTTGGAACTTTAAACTATTTACCGATCTAATTAATAAAAAATGATTTGTATGGTGAAATAGTTTTAAATCGTGATTTCTAACATGAAAAAGTTAGCATGCGAGATTTTTTTTTGTTTTTGGGTTAGAGAGGTTTTGTCTGTGGCAAAGTTGAAGCCAAAAGTGTAATGCGTAAAATATATTTTTTTGGAATTTTTTACAATCAGTGGTTCAGTAGATAACTTGGGTTGAAGAGGACGGCAAATGTAGCATTTCGCAACGCATGGAAAGAACTACATCGTACGATGCGACTGCTGAGTGGACTTTTAATTTATCTAATTTAATTTATCTAAGGACAAGAAAAAGGTGAATATACAGATCACCAGTACATTCATATTATTTATAAAAAATCTTTCTTTATTACCAGCTAACATTTTTCACTTATAAGAATACATCATAAACAGGGTGTTAAAATAAGCGGGGAGATACTTTACCTAGTAATTCCTTGGGTCAAAATAAACAGAAAATCAAGGATAACATTTTTTCCAAAATAATTTCGTTAACCAGATATCCACCATTTTGTATTTTTTACATACAAATATTTATCTTTGCACTTTTCCAACCGATGTTTATCAAACTTGGTATGTATGTTAAGGTAGGAGAGACCCATGTTATAAACAAAGATTCATCTCGATTCACCCTAAAATTTCAAAATTTAACACTTAACTACAATATAATATACTCTACTACACCACAATATTTACGTATCACCATAAATCTTTAACAAAATAAAACGTTAACATTTTTAAAAACCAAAGTAAATCAATATAATATTTCTTTTTTGAAAAATATATTTAAAAAACAGGCGATGGTAAAATAACGACAGGCGAGTTTCGATCTGGGTGTTTCAGGTTTGAATCTAGGAGGATTTAACATTAATTAACATTAATGTTTAATCCTCCTAGGTTTGAACTGATTGAGAGGAATACATGAAACCGAAGGGGGGAGGTAGCAACAAGTGCACTAGTATTTACTAGTGTCCAATTACAATTTGATGGATTTAACCAAAACCTTTTCTATTTCACTTATTTTCAGCTGTTAATACAGATTGTTTAATACTGACATTGCATTATTATATTTTAATTTGAGCCTAATTACGACGGTCTACGTACACGTTATTAGTGATATAGTAACATTGTTTATTATCATATTGTTGTATTACACGAAAGACATTAATTTACGACGATCCTTCGGCTTACATATTATTGGATCATTTGTTTACGTATCACGATTGTAAACGTTGATTGTTGGGGTATAATTTTAGCGATTTAAATATTATACAGAGCACCTACGGTTAGGAACAAACTCCTACAACAGTTTTATTGTTATTTAACATACTAATCAACAATAACGTTTGCCGCCAATTGTATTAAATCTAATATGGGTCCTTGGAAACTATTTTTGTTAGTTTGGATGTACAATCTCTTCCCGATGGTGTAAGTGCTGACTGAGCCAGAAGACAGGCAAAAAACAGCCTTGCAAGAACAACGACTCATCCGTGCCTACCACGACCACTCCCGCCGTTATCACCGTGACACTGGCGTAGGCTACTACATCCAAGGCAATAGTTTTAGCATAGATTTATCATTAACTTTAGATACTGGATGTAGAGATTTCATTTAAGAGAAACAGATAAAGCATTGACTTTGGATACTACAAGTAGTCATCCCATTTATGAGAAACAATTATACAATTGACTTAGTGAACTTGTAGGAGACATCTCAATTACGTGAACTATATTTAGCATTGACTTTGAAAAAGTATTGGATTACAGTACTATGATAGCTCCGTTCAATATTGCAAGCAGACAACTGCATTTTACACCTAGTACACATTAGTACACGCAAAATAATGCAAGGGACCTTGAAAGAAATATTGGCAATGAATTTTTCATAATGGCAGAAAATAATTACAGTACAAAGCACTGTGGTGCATAATCAACACAGTAAATCAATGAAAACAGAAAAAAGTTCAAAATCTACACATTTCTTTCTACATCTATTATTTCTTACTTTACAAAATCACCGAAACCACGCTCTCCTCGTGTAAGTATAGATATATTGTGGGAACTACATCTGAACTAGGTTGAATTAGCATAATAGCGCAAGTTTAAATGAGAACAATTGTATGACTAAAACTAGTAAAAATAATTTATTTGGTAACTGATGACGTTGTTTAGACCTATCAGGAAACTACACTCCTTTACCACGTAAATATCTAACATAGTTTGTACCTCTGTGATTTCGTCTAATCATATTCAGTGATTCATTCTTTACATAGTTTGACTTTTTCGTAGGCCTGGTTGTAATATAGCTTATGTCTGGTTTTACATAGGTGTTGTCGCTGGTTATACAGTAGTACTTGCACATATTCGCGCCTTTTTTAATCCCGCGCTTTTATCGAGTGCGTTGACATTGACTAGTTATTCCAACTATTGTCATCAGTTTCTCGTTCTGTAACACACATTCTAATCATGATGTATCCCTCACTACATTTCCGCCTTGAACTGCATTATTTGACGAGCGTCTGGTTTAAATACATTAATCGATTTACAAGCTACATTATGAAATATTCATAATGTACCTTGCAAATCGATTAATAGATAGTCTACTAACTAATTTACTCCCTACAAATAATTAGGTAATACATTATTTAATACAGTGATATCAATGACAAATGTATATGATACTTTTACTAATACAATATTCTTAAATTTATTACACCTATTTGCAAATGTTTCAGCTACCTTGTCCACAGTAACATTTACATTCGTGTAGTTCTTGACAGAAGACTTTAATACAAAACTAGATGTATGTCTCTTGGACTTGACATAATTTCAAAAAGAAGTGATATTGTATACAACTCACAACAAAAATCAAATAGTTAGTATACGCTGTCCTAATTGTTATTTTTACTTCCGATTTTATAGTTGTAAACAAGGCAATAATGGTGGTTGGAAAACTTAAGTTTTTCGCATACTTGTCTTAATTTACAGATTCGGTTGCATCCTTTGTTAACCAAAAAGGATATTTACATTTATTGACAAAATAAAACTTAGACTGATCGATGATTATAAATACGATGACAACTGCATTTACATCACCATACTTATGCAAATAGGTCCAAAATAAATCTCTCATAGACAATATAACTTATAAAGACCGGCCTCTGCAGTAATATGGTTTACCGTACTTATTAATTGCGTACTTATTAATTTACCGTACTTATTAAAAAATAGCAAAGTGCCGAAAATTACCGATTTTGGGTAAACCCAGCTTAGGTTAGGGCTGAGGAGCTCAGCTAAAGGTTATTTTAGGGAGTCCTTGGAGGCTAGTGGCCATTTTGGATAATTTCAAACAGCTGCTGAAGAGCGATTTATCGTCCAAAAATATTTTTCAAACACCAAAGTGATTATAATTTAACATCGAGTATAGTGTGAGATTAGAAATGTTCTTTGTAGTTTTTTTATTGTTCTCCAGTGGAGTCAATGAAAGCTAACAGCCATCTTGGATTTGTCCCCCATAAGAGCGATGTTAATTACGTTAATTTCAGACAGCAGCTGGAGATTTATTTACAGTCCAAAAATATTTTTTCAAACATCAGAGTGATTGTAATTTAAATATCTAGTATATTGTTAAACTATAAATTGTCTTTGTAGTTCTTTCATTGTTTTATGAGTTAGAACGTCTAGGCTCCAAGGACTCTTTTACACTCTTTTATTGACACTTACCAGTCAAATGTGGCGATATTAATGATTTATAACGCTTTTAACGAGTTTCAAACGTGTTTTTCGTGGTGAAATATGTGTTTGCTGAAAAAGTGCAAGAGGAAAAGAAGTTTGAAATGACTCGAATAATAAAAAATAGGCTTCCATTAAAAGAAAAAAAGATTTTTCGAGCGCTTATAATCGCCGATTTCTAAAGCTTTTCTCGATTTCCAAACGTGATTTTCAGGGTGAAATAGTCGTTTCCCCCTAAAGTGCCAAAGGAAAATAGCATAATTTTGGTAGATAAGGTAAAAAATTCGATAAAACATAAGTAGTGCAAGTTCAGTATTGCCTCCTGGATTTCACCAATCACGTATTCAGACCTTAATTCCAAAATTTAGTTAACCTTGCGCTGGATTTTGAGATAAATATTGCAAACCCACAACGGACCTTTCCAGTTCTTCCTTATCTTTACCGCATATCTCTCTTATCTCCAAGACTACAGACTGCGCAATGAAGGAGGGTCTCGTGCCTATGCCTAATCTGACGAAGAATGAGCAAGAGCAATCGTACATTTGTTTTTTTAATTGTGGTGTAAAACTTTTTAATTTATGTTTAGATGTTATTTAATTTCTTGTTATGTGAGTTTGAATTTAGTATGGTAGCCATTTCAGAAGAAAGTATTAAAGTAATTTGAGATGTTAAGATTATGAAGAAATGTCATTTCTTTAACAGAAATACTAAGATAACTTCTCAAAATGACTTCTAAATTGTT